CAGGGCAGCACGAGTGGCTTGGTTGGGGCTAAGTCCCCAGTGGGCACGGCCAGCCCGGGAGCCAGCCCAGAGCTCAGTCCAGGCCCCTTGCACAGGGCAGGTGCCAGCAGCGCTGGGCAGGGGGAGCGGGCAGCCCCCCGGAGGGAGGGCAGGCTGGGGTGGATCTGGATGGGTGGGGGTCTTCACTCCACCGTGAAACACTCCCACCAGGTGCAACAGCAGGAGCCTCCCAGGAACGGCTGGGGACTCACTGAGGCACTCAGTGACAGAGTGCCAGCCCTGGGGCCACTCTCCCCAGGAGACCACAGATGTTCACACCCGCCAGCCTCAGGTGCCCCGCCAGCTCTCCACACACAGAGTGACAGGAAGCCTTCCGTGGCCGCCCGACCCAGGACCGGGCCACACATGTACATTTCCCATGACTGTGACTAGCAAGGCAGGCGTGTCCCTGTCCCAGAGAAAGAGCCGAGATCAAGGGATGGCTGTGGTCCATGTGGCTGATGGCAGAGGCCTTCTGGGAAGCCTGCCGGAGGGTCGCAGCAGACCCCGCACCAGGACTCCAGGGCTCTGGGCCTGGACTTCCTGACCCTTCCCCAGCCCCGTGGGTGAAGCCACCACGCTGAGGCGGGGCTGGCCACCCTCGTGGCAGTGCCCAGGCGCCTGCTGCTCTCTGCGGGGCAGCGTGGCCTCCTGGCCGAGCCCGCCCACACCCCGGGAAGCGGCCCCTCTGGACAGCCTGTGCCTGTCTCCTACCAGGTGGACATTCTCGGCCGAGCGAGAGCTCACCAGGACTTAAGATTTCTTAAATCATATTTTTAAAAATACAATGGTCAGGATTTTCCAAGGTTTACTGAGATGATTAATTCACAGACGATGGAAGTGTCCTGCGGTGAGTGTACGAGCCAGTGCCCCGCGCAGCCCCACACCAGCACCTGTACCCCACTCCCACCACCCACAGGGGCTCGGCCCCACCAGTCCTGCACCTGCAGCTCCCACCTCTGGGCTCTCCTGTCCGGGATGTCTCCTGTCGCTGAGTCACACGCTGTGGCCGTGTGTCCGGCTCTCGCTGAGCACGAGGTCCTCAGGTCCCTCCACGCTGCAACTGTCACCTGGCTCCTGCTCGGGCCAAGTGGGAGGCAGAGCTGGTGTGACTGTGTCTCCCATGTGCCTGTTCAGTCTCCCACTAGCTGGTGGGCAAGGCTGCAGCAGAGTCCCCACCCTCATCTCAAGGACAGAAAACCTCCTGCCATCCTCCTGTCCCAGCCCCCGTCAGGGGCCACACCTCGCCTCCTGCAGCCTGAGTCCCCTCAGGACTGTGAGGTCCCACTGCGTGCTCCGCCCGGGACGAGGGCGTTTCTCCTTGGGACTCGCCATGGGGTCAGGGGTGTGGCACTTTCCTGCTACTGATCTCTKCTGTGGATGGAGGCCAGGCAGTGTCCTGCTACAGGGCTGGAAGGCACTGTCACCTTAGGGTGGGCTTCCCAGGAGCTGCTGGGCGCTGACAGGAGTGCACCGGCTGGGACCGCTGCCTCCTGCTCTGTGGCCCTTAGGCGGGTGCTACCCAGCCCCTGGATCCTGGGGAGTGGCCTGCTGAGACTGTGGGGCCGTCCCAGCACAAGGACCTGGCTCCCTCCCTTGTGAGCAACCGGGGATAGACCTGGGCTYCCGGCCCAGGCAGGGAGGGCTCAGACCCGCACAGYTGCTAGGACGGGAGAACGCCCAGCRAGGGCCCTGACCCTGAGTGTGGCTCAGCACCCTGCACGGTGAGCAGCTGATCCACGTCTGTGCCTCCTGTGCCGGCCTGGCCCTCCTGGCTCTCCAGCCCTGCCTCAGCCGGAGCAGGAAGGGCTGCAGCTGCCGTCCACACGGCCAGCCAGACGAGCCAGCCAGGGCTCCGGCAGGGCTGAGGCTCACCGCCCCCAGGGGGTGCCCTTCTCTGGAGTGTTCTGGCCAGGAGGACCCCTGGGGACCCACTGGCATGGGTCAACCCCCACCACTGTYGGCCAGTCTGGGGTGTGAGAGGGCAGTAGCAGCACGCACCACAGCCAGGTTGCCTGCCGGGCACCCACACCGAGTCCCAGGCCCATCTGAGACCTCCTCAGGCAGCAGGGTCAGCTTGGGTACCTTCGGAGGAGTCAGGGTCAGCACCTCTAGGCAGAAGGCCTGGGGCTGGGAGCACGAAGAGCCAGGACTGGCAGGCGGGGTCAGGGCCCGGCGGCAGGGGCCTCCAGGTCAGGGCTGCAGGCTCCCTCTGTGAGGGCCGGAGCACGTGCTCGCGGCCGGGCGGACTCTGTGGGAATCGCTGCCCTGGAGCTGGAGGACCGGCAGGTGTGTCCACGGCATGGACCACAGGACGGGCGGTGAGCTGTCCTGGACGTTCCCCTGGTGACKTAAGACCTGAGCCCTGTAACTTCACGGCCGTGGTCTTCGGATGCCCCTCCCAATCCATAAGCAGAAGGACTCGGTCCACTCCACTTTGGAGGAAGCCGGCCGGCTGGGCCTGGCCTGGGCTCTGGCCACAAGCCCTGACCAAATGCCTCAGTGGACAGAAGCCATCAGCTCAGGACAGTGGAGAAGGAAGGACAGGCACGGATGTGCAGGGCCTGGAGGCTGGAGAGGGGCCAGCCAACAAGGAGGACAGCTGGCCCAGGGGACGAGCTGGCGCAGGGTCCCTGGCCACAGGAGATGCAAGAGGTGAGGCCAGGCCTCCCGCCCCGCAGCAGGGCTGCAGCCCCGGGCCCGCCACAGCCCCACGGGGCTCCCTGCCTCTCACCCCTGCTTCTGCAGCGGCCCCCGCTGCCTCCCACCCAGCAGGCCAAGGCAGCAAGGAGCCCGGTCCCCAGTAGAAGGGCGAGAGCCAGCGTTCCAGGCCATGGACACCTCCCCTCCTCTATGGGCCTGGCCCTACCAGGGGTGGCYGGGCAGGGGTGGGCACAGCTGGGCTGGGAGGGGCGCAGCACCTGGACGCGCCCCCAGCCCGTGGCTTGCTCGGAGCGCTGCACTCCACACACTCAGTAATTTCACGCTACGCCGCCCGACAATGTAAGTGTGGAGGCCCCATCGCAGGCCGCACTTCCCAAATGTCACTTGTTTGTGAACACATGGCTGAATCCAAAATTGCTTTTAATATCGGGGCTCTGACGGCACCTCCAGACAGCACGAGCCCGGCGCACAGCTCAATCTGTCTTAGGCCAGCCACGGCTCAGACGGTCCTGGCCACCAAGGTGCCCCTGCAGCCAYGCGCACGGCTAAACTCCCCGTCCACAGAACCACAGCCCTGACGTGTTTGCTCCTTTGGAGCAAAAGAGGAATCCTGCCTCCTGGTCTCCCTCACAAAGACTAGCCTGAGCCCGCCCGGGAGCCTGCGGCAGGCCTCCTCACTACAGGCCCTCTCCTTTAGGACCCGCACCCCAGTGGGGGCCACTCGGGTGGAGCACCTACCCAGCATGTGCGAGGCCCTGGGTTTCATCTCCAGCAGTGCCAAAAAATCCAAAAATAATAAAAACAGAAAACCCCAAACTACAGCAACAAAACACGCGAGAAAGATAAAGAGAGGCCCCTTTGCACAGAGCAGCACTGCTGTCTCTACTACCATGCTGAGAGCAAAGAAAGGGTGGCTTCCTCCAGGGACACACCAGGCAGGCGACGTGCAGCGGGAGGAGCGTGTGCAGGCTTTAGGAGCTGTGTACTGTTGGGGATCTGGGGCTGAACCCAGGGTGCTCAACCACTGAGCTACACCCTCAGCCCTTTTTACTTTTTATTTTGCGGCAGGTCTCACTGAGTTGCTGAGGCTGGCCTTGAACTTGTGGTCCTCCTACYTCAGCCTCCGAAGCAGCTCTTGATGATAGGCGTGGCTATCATCCTAGTCCCAGCACCTGGGCAGGCACACTGGTCAGCGCACTGCCAGAGCCTCACTGGCAAAGACCTGAGGTCTCGGGAATGGCGTGGCATCTGGGTCTCGCCTCTGACCTCTCCTCACGGCCCCCCATCTAGATCTGGGGGGAATCCAGTTTGCCCCAGGTCTGGCTCCTCTGGGCCCTGCACTTGGAGGCTGCAGGGGGCAGGCCTGCCCTCGGCTCCTGCCTGGGCARAGTGGCCACACCGACTCTGCAGTGCGGGGCCCAGGAGGAGAGGGGCACCAGCGCCCCCGCCCAACGCCMGGGCCAGGCCCGGAAGGAGCGCACGGCTTCCTGGTGCCGCTGGGATAGGCACCGGCGGCCCGCAGGGGTGTCCTGGGAGGGGCCAMGCCAACATCCCCTGCTCTCCCTCCCATGGCTCCTGTCAGTCTGAGACCTGGTGCTCACAAGCTCCTTTCAGCCCAATGGCATCTGGACCCCRAGGCCCAGCCCTCAGCACAGCCCTGGGGGCGTCCCAGGCTGGCCCGCACGCCCTTTAGCCTGTAAGTGCCATACCAACAGTGCACACGGGGCTGAGGGAGACCAGGTGTGACAGTGGCCAAAGGTCGAGGAGGCTCTGGGGATAAGCACTTGGTTCAGACGTCYCGCCTACAGGCCAATGTCAGTGCTGGACATGAGGGCAGGTGACCACGAGAAACCACTGAACTTGTTCTTCACCAAGCCAGCAAGAGGGGCGGGCCTGATCCTGACCACTGCCCAGAGCAGCCCCTGGAGGGCCCACCAGAGACAGGAAGGCAGAAGCCTAAGTGGTCACTCCTCAGCCCCTAGCCCTCCWGAAAACCACTCACTGCCAGAAAAAAACTCCCCATTTGCACCCCAGACCAGCAGGACAATAGGGGACAGCCCCATCAGGGCCACCAGACCAGGCAGCCAGAGAGGACATGCTGGAACCTAGCCCCGGGCCACTGCAGGCCCCCCCACCCCCCACCCCCCGTCCACCAGGAGAGAGGCATGAGCTTGCTCAGGACCCCAGACGCTGGGCCTGGGTGAGCAGCTGCCCCAGGGGCCCCGGGCCCCGTGGCAGAGGCAAGTCGGGCCACTTCCTACCCCKCGAGGCCCGTGCACGGCATCTGCAGGACCTACCTGAGTGGCAACTTTGCCGTAATCAATCCACCGCAGGGTGGCAAAGTTGGTGGACTCTGCGCAGTTGAAGCCGTGGTTGAAGCCCGCGTGGTAGCCGTAGGGGAACGTGATCATGAACTCGCCGGCCTCCTGCGTGATCTGCGGGACAAAGTGGACAGGTGAGAGGGGCAGAAGGGGCAGGCCAAGGGGGAGGAACCAAGGCCACCAGAGCCACCACGCCGAGCACAGCAGGAGACAGGGCTCAGAGGGGCACCCCAGGAGCTAGCAGGGCTCCTCAGAGTTGGGGAGCCCTGACACCCGAGGCGCCTGCCCAGCTCCCTGAGGGCAGGGCCACTGCTCTGCTGCCAGCACTGTCGCTCGCGTGGCCGGCCAGCCCTGCTCTGCAGCACCTTCCAGGACGCCACTGGGCTCCACGACTGGGCACTCAGCTGAAGCCCGGGGAGGCAGGGCTGGCCTCAGAGGAGGCTGCGGCACGGCCCTGCCAGGTATCCCCACGGCATCAGGCTCAAGCGGACAGAAAGTGCTGGTGGACTAGCGGGGTGCAGAAAAGGGACAGGGCACCTGCAGGACAGCGTCTGGTCCCTGCACGAGGAGTGGCCAGGTCTGCAGCCCACCTGCCAGGAGATGGCCTGCAGAAGGCCACTGATGGCCACAGAATCTCCCGTCATGCCTCACATGGCCCAGCGTGCGGGGCCTGGACAGAAGGGCCATTTAAGAGAGACCCGGCTAAAGGGCTGGCCTGAGYGGGGCGGGCGGGGGCCACAGTGACCCAGACCCCAGGCTTCCAGAACAGCCTCCTGAGGCCTGGAGGAGGGGGCTGCCAGACAGTGGGGGGTCAGCCCCACACCAGGCCACCTTCCCCTCCCAGGACGGGGACGGCAGACCACCACCGACCCTCTGCTGCTGATGAAGCGCTTGGGAAGGCGATGCTCAGGGAGACGGCAGCAGGCAATGGTGGAGGCGGCTCCCGCTGCCGGGAGGGCTGCCAGGTGCGCCTCAGACAGGCACCGAGGCTCGCGAGTGGAGGCGACTGAGGGGTCCATCGGCGGACCCCGAGTCTATCTGCACGCAGTAGGCCACGTGGCACGAGCAGAGGGTGGTACACACACAGCCTTCCGGCAGCCAGGGCAGGACGGGTGTCCAGCACCCTGCAGGCAGGCCCACCCACGCGTGCTCTTGCCACTCGGGCCCGCTGGCTCTCAAGGCGCACGCGCCAAGCCGGGGTGCCAGGCGGGGTCGAGGTGCCAGGCGGGGTCGAGGTGCCAGGCGGGGTCGTGCTGGCTCCTGGGGGCCAGGAGAGCCTTCCCTCCCGAGTGGAGCCGGTCCAGCCTCTCCCTGCCGATGGCCGTGTGGGCCATTTCCAGCTTCAGGCTCCTGTGAGGAAGCCACCAGCAAGGTCCCTGTGTAAGGCTCCCGAGACGTGGGTCCTCTCTGCAGAAGTGGGCACGGGGGCACGGGGGGGCATGGGGGGCCCAGGCCTGCACTTTCTGGAGAGGGCCACCCAGGGCGCTCCAGCACCCGTGGCCACTGTGGCCACGCAGGTGCGTCCGCAGCCCGAGGCCGACGTGTCTGCTGGCCTGCGGGTCCGCKCGGGTCCCTCCAGCCCTGGCTGGCCCTGTTTGCACAGGGGCTTGTCCTCTCGCCCTCGCGAGTGGGCTTGTGGGTGTTCTCAGGCCGTTCACCTCACTTGTCCCCCAGAGGGGCAGAAAGGGCTGCATGCGTAACCAGCAAGGAGTCCAAGGCCCGGGGCTGGGGTGGTGGAGAGGGGCTCCCCCGCTAGGAGCAGCCGCCGCATCAGACATCAATCAGGACCCTGCGGCCTGGGAAGCGCCCGTCCTGGAGAACTGTAATATTTTTCTTTTCAAATAATTAATTACACCAATCAAGGGAGTCAGTGTGCATTAAGCCATATTTTAAAATTTCTGTCCAAGTGACAGCCTCATGCAGCAGGGTGGAGTGTCGGCAGGAATCAGGGAGGGGGACACGCCTGCGTCCCCAAGGCCCCACAAGCACCCACGTAGCCAAGATCTCCAGGACGGCCTCTGTCACCTCACTTGGAGCTCCATGTAACAGGAGCAGGTGAAATAAGGCTTGGAAAATTTTTTTAAAAATGAAATTAATGGCCAAGCAGGGAGCCACACCTCTAATCCCAGCGGCTCTGGAGGCTGAGGCGGGAGGGTCATGAGTTCAAAGCCAGCCTCAGCACTTCAGTGAGAGCCTGTCTCTAAATAAAACGTAAAAATGGGCTGGGGATGGGGCTCTGTGGTTAAAGGCCCTGGGTCCAGTCCCTGGTACTGATTTCCCAGCCCGTTGGAGCTGACCCGGAGAGCCCCTGCTGTCTCTCCCTCTGACCCCAGGCGGGACGCTCTGCTCTCCAGAGGCTGCCCTGGCGTGGGGGACAACCAGGCCTGCAGGTCCACCATGCAGCCACACCGGGAGCTACGGACTCAGGCCTTCTGGGGCACAGCTGGGGCCCTGTGACACCAAGTGTCAAGCCTGGACGTGAGGGGCCAGGCTCAGGTGGACACCGGGCCTCATCTGCCCTGACAAGCCCTCGCCTGACCGAGGCCCRGGATGGGACGCGCTGCTGGAACCACGAGAAGGCCCCGTTCCTGTCAAAACCTCCACATCCCTGGGGTGCACCCAGCCTGGACGCCTGTCCTGCACGTCGCTGCCGTCCCCGTCTCCTGACACTGGATCAGGAGCGTTCTGGTGATGGGCAGGCCGAGCAGCAGGGGAAGTGGGGAGRGGCGCCGGCCCGGCTGCTGGTCCTACGGGGAGCCTGGGGCCAGGTCTCCGGGGCTCTTGCAGGATGAACGAGGCAGTCGGAGGCAGGTTACAGAAACACACACTTTTAATCATTAAAAGCCTCTACCATCGATCTGCTTTTCCTTCTGGAAGTAAATGCCATTACAAAGATTTATAAGGGGCGTGCCAGGAATTCTGATGGGGGACCACGCTGCTCTCAGAAAAGGGTGCTCGTGGCTCAGGGGTCACTTGGGAGGGGCTGCTCCTGCCAGCTGGACGGGCACAGACACCCGGCCCCACAGGCCACATCCGGGCGGCCGAGCCGGGAGCAAGGGAGCGGCTAGGTGTTGGGCAGGTCACAGACCCGCACCTCTCCCTTCCCTGAGCACAGCCCTCGACTGGTTTCCTGGTAGCGACTCAGTTGAGGCCATGACAAAAAGGAGAAGCGGGAACAGGAGCCTGCGTCCTCAGGACGCTCCCCCATCCTGCACCAGMCCGGCCGGGGCACAGTCCCTGGGCCATGCCCACGCGGCACACGCGGTCCCAGCTGATGCTGCAGGCAGCGACCGGGCTTCGGGGGCCACCCCACCCCCGTGTGCTGAGCTCCGTGWGAGGCTCTTCACAGAGCCCTTCAGAACCAGGCCCCGGAGGCTCTCTCCCCCCCGCCCTCCGGGCTTGGAAGGCTCCAGCCTCCCACCTGGAAGACCTGGGGACTTTCCTGCCCACAGAGGCCGGTCCTGAATGCCCGTTAGCTGGACCTTCAGGCCAGGTGCAATGCATGCTCCCCTGGGGACACAGGGCTCCCAGGCCTGATTGAGGTGTCTGTCATCTGGGTGCCCGAGAGCTGCTCTCTCACCACCCACTACCTCCTGCAGACCACAGTCCGCCTGACACCTCGCCCCTCAGCCCTCTGCGAGGATGTGGCAGCCTCAGAGCACAGGCTGCAGGGAGCCAGCCCTTTCGTCTCTAAGCCTGTGTGCATCCTCTCCAAGGTGGGCTGAGGTGGGCTGAGGCGGCCACTCTATGGGGCCCAGACAAGGTGCAGCCTGAGAAAAGGCACCTGAGGCTGGGAGGGGTCTGCCCTGGGTCCTCTGTAGCAGGTCCTACCTTTCCCCTTTTGCACCTGACCCCCTGTAGCCCTGCTAAGGGACCAGGGGGCCACACTGGGGACCTCACTTGGTTCACAACCCCCCACCTCAAGGACAACTTGCCTCCCCTCCACCTTCTCTGGGTCAAGATCCTGTCTCCTTGGCCATTTGTGGCCACTGGATCTAGGCCCTGGCCCCTGCCCCGCGGGCGCCTGCCAGCCCATACGCACCCGGCTGAAGGGKATCCCGTACTTCTTCAGGATGATGGGCGAGATGAGCGTCATCTTGTGCCGCAGGAAGGCGTCGCAGCCCTGAGAGCTCCCGGGGAAGAATCCTGGGCGGGAGAGACCAGGGTAAGCGGGGCCGGGGGAGCGTGCTGAGCTGGTGCCACACGCCCGAGAGGCCACAGTCAGGCCACAGGGCCCAGGGCCACAGCTGCAGGACCCACACGTGGCCCAGGGCTCTGCTGAGGGGATGCAGGGGYCCTGTGGGCAGCAGACCAACAGGGACAGCCCAGAGGGCAGGACAGAGCCACTCATGTGACAGGTGTGGCCCGGCACACACTGGGTCCCACACATGGGGCTCTTCCTGGATGCAATCTGCTGAGCCACTGTCACGTGGAGAGCACCTGAGAGTGCAGCCAGAGGGCAAAATGGGTATGCCCCCCCCCCCCGCCCGGCCAGTACTGCAGAGCCAGGCGAGGCCCGGGGACGGAGCAGCTCTCACAGGCTTCCTCCAGCAACCAGCCCGACCCGGCCCCAGGAAACCCTGGGGCACACGGGGGTCCTGAGCGCCCTGGCAGGCGAGGGAACCAGACAGAGCCACCCTCAGCCCCCAGACCCAGGGAGAGGGGAGCTCACAGCCACCCGCCTCACTCTCCCGCCACAGGAAAGGGGTGGTCTAGTTCCCGCTCGGAGGCTTCCTGCCCCCAGCAGACCCCTAGCTGACCAAGGCYACGTTCAGTCAGGACCCAGCATCGCCCCACGGGCACCAGACGCTCCCGACCACTTCCCAGAGACTCCCACGGCCCCCTCTGGCCGAGGCTCGTCACCACACCTGCACTGTGGCTCAGGGAAAGGGAGTCCCGGGCCTCCAGACAGCAGGTCCTGGCCATGGCCCAGCTGGCCCCACGCCTCAGGTGGAGCACACAGTCCCCGCTGCAGGAGGGACAGCACCAAGGAAGGCCAGCTCTCTCGTGGGCTCGGCACACTTCCTAGGCCGGCACGCAGCCCCGAGCCAGGGTGGGCAGCACGTGGGGACAGGCCCCCTCCGTGCTCAGGCACTTCCTGCTCTGCTCCTGACAAACGGAGGATGAAGAGGCCAAGGAGGTGGGCAGAGCGGGGGGCAGGGAGGGAGGCCAAAGCCGGTCCCTCATCCCAGGGGTCTGCACGGTGCTGGTCTGTCCATCCCAGCCACTGTCCCCACGAGGGGAGACCAGGCGCCATTCAGATCAAAGGGCAGGAAGGGAGGAGGTCATGGCGGTGGCAGGTACAGCCCACGGGTGTCCACTGCCTCCAGGATGGACCTGCAGCCATCCCGGCCTGGACCTGGGACCCTGGTCTCTTGGCCAGCACACACCCGGGGGTAGATGGTCAGAGGAGACCCTGGCGCTGGCAGAGCTCGTCACCACACCTGCACTGAACAGTGGCACTTCTGGAAGGTGTGACGCTCCCTGGACCAGCCCCTCCTCCCCGCCGGGAGCATTGCAATGAGAATTAGGACTGCCTTGCCACTGCTGCCCGCCACTGCTGTGGCCGCCCGCCGTTCCTCTTTTTAATGCGCGCTTTAAGTGGCGCTCATTAAAGCTCTAATAAAGGCGCACATTTTAAGTGATTAGCACCAGTAATGCGCCCGAGCATTAATGCTCTCTCTGGCCCCCCAGCGCTCCCCCAGCCCTCCCCGCAGAGCCAGGCCCTCGTTCTCCAGGTTACTCGCACTCCCGCCTCACCCCCTCCACCACCGAGCCCGTGACACAGCCCAGGACCCTGGCAGGGTCCCAAGCCAGGCAGCCAGGAGACGCTGGCATCTGACAGGCCTGTGCTCCTCGTCTCCGACCCTCCCTGGCCGAGGCCTGCCCCGAGTTCTGGGCAGCTGAGCCTCCCCTCCTCAAGGGCCCGTCTAGGGAGCCCCCACGGAGCGGCCTTGGCTCCCCACAGGCCCTGCCAAGCCCTGTACAGGACACACAGCCTGCCCCAGGTCGTGGCTTGGCTGCGGAGAGTGGGAAGGGCGCGTGCCCACCAAGACTGCCCAGGCCACGGGACCCTCTTGTCCCCGCTCGTCCGCGCTCGCCCRGTCGGCCTGCAGCTCTAACACAAAAGGCAGCCAGAGAGGAGCTGGGGCACCGCGACTGCAGAGAAGCTGTGGGCAGGGCCAGGGGCGCGGAGACCTGGTCACCACAGTGCCTCAGCTCACCACTTAGGTCCTTCCCTCTGTGAGCCCACAGGGAGACCCGGGGTCCTCACGGGRGGAGGCAGGAGGGCCGACGCCGCGTGCCGGCTCTGGAGCTGGAGGAGGGGGCCTTGGACTGTCCCCGGGGCCTCGGGAGGCCCAGCCTGCCTCCCCTGGACCAAAGGCTACAACCTCCAGAGCTGGGAGCTGAGCTCTTTGAGGCCAGCGAGCAGCAGCACAAGAGGAGACCCACGCCACAGGGACACACCGGATGCCCTGAATGACATCYTGCTAAAACTGCAACGGGAAGATCGTCTTCTTTGTCCTCTGTCACAGCCCTGGAATGCCCAGTGGCTGGCCCTCTGCTGTGACTGGCCATCACTGCAGAAGCCCAGCTAGAGGCACATGCTGCTGGGACCAGGTGTGGCCACCCCCAGGGAGGTCCAGGTGCCTACAGGAYGCCAGGCAGCCGCTCCGGGGAGGGCACCCGGCCCACCTGCCCCAGCAAGCCCCCACATCTCAAGTGCATCTCCCAAGGTCAACAAATGCCGCGTGCCACCTCCAGGACAGGGCGCCCGCTGCTGGGGAAGACCGGCTGCTCCTCCGACGCCCAAAGCCAGTGGGAGCAGGAGACGGCAGGTGCAGGGTGTCTTTGTGCCAAAGGAGAGAGGGGACAGAGGGCAGCAGCGGGGGTCAGGGAGCTGAGGCGCTGAGGGCCCTCGTGGTGTCCAGGCAGCTCCCAGAGCAGAGGGTTCTCACTGTCCCTCACTCTCCTGTGCCCCAGGTTGCTCCCACATGGCCCCAAGGCCACCTGCTGGGCGGCTGCAGCAGCTGGGGCCGGAACTCCCACCCGAGTGGGGAGCACAAAGGGTGCTGATCAGGTCTCATGGAGGGGAGGGAGCCCCTGCCACAGAGGACACGCACAGGGACGGCCTGCGAGGGGCAGCCCTCACCAGGCGCCAGCTCTGCTGGGGCCCTGACCTTGAAACCCCGGCCTCCAGATCCTGCCACTTGCCGACACATCGGGGGTGCCAGCTCCGCGGCCCAGCAGGCAGGGGTAAGACTGGCGGTCCAGGCTCTGAGGAGCCACGCCACAGCAGACAGGTGGGCTGGTGTTGGGCAGGAGAGGGGCCCGTGGCGGGAGCTCCCGGGGGACCAGGCTCCTGGGCAGCAGGGCCGCGGGGCTTGGTGCTGAGCCAGCCAGGCACCCCGAACCAGGAGCCCCTCAGACAAGTGCTCTGGCTCCGAGTCCCCTGAGAGGGTATGAATGCAGGCCAGGGGTGGGCAATGGGACATCCGCACAGGGAGCCCAGCACTGCTGGCCCCAGGACGACATGGCGCACGGCCTGGCGATACTGCACAGGCCAGGGGCGGCCAGCCCAACCAGACTCGCAACTAGAGAGCTGGCGAGGCGCAGGCTCCGTGAGGCCACGAGAACACGCCGCCCTCCCAGCCCGCAGGAGCGCGGCCAGGCCGGGACCTCAGGTACAACAGACCACACACGGTGGGATGCGGATCTGGTCCCAGGGAGAGAGAAAATGGGGAACAGGACACCAGTGTCCTGAAGCACATCGCTGTCCCCAACCAGAACCCACAGCCGCCACTCCCCGGCCCGCCTGCCGGCCCAGTCCACCCTGCATCCCGTGGGCGCAGACACCTACCGATGGCCAGCCGCTCCAGGCGCTTGCCGTGCTCCGGCGGGATGGCATACCTACGAGAGAAGGGAGGCAGGTCAGAGGCCAGCGGAGACGTGGCAGACGGTGGGCACACAGAGGCGGTGGGGGGGGGACCCCACGGGGCGGGRCGAGGAGCAGCTGGAGGAGGGAGCAAAGGCAGAACCCCAGGCCAAGGCTGCGACAGCAGAGGCAAGGGGACATCCCCAGCTAAGTGACACTACACCCTGCTGAGGACAGAGTAGCAAAGACAGAGCTGGACTGGGGCTGCGGTGGGTGTGCTGTGCTCAGAGCTCAGCAGGAAGCGCCTCTGCCRGTCTCTATGGTTCCCAGGCCGGGGACCAACAGGGAAGAAGCTTCCAGAAGGAAGAGTGAGCCTTCACTCTCACCACCTCGCACGCTTTCCTTCACACACTCACGTCTGAGAGAGGACTGAGGCGCCATCATCAGTAAGAAAGACGTAAGAGAAAGTTTGCCGACAGATGCCATGGGCCCCGTGCCACCGACGCCATGTGTGCGAGCTGGCGAGGCCTGGCAGCCTCAGCCTGGCAGGGGGCGAGCTGCACAGCTGGCCCGGCCCAGCCCACGCYGTGGCCTCGCTCAGCCCACTGCCACCACCGGGGGTGCCTTGGGACATCTGTGTTCTGGCATGGAGGGGGTGGAGGCCAGGACGCTGCAGCACCCGGACGCCACCCCAAGGATGGCGCCAGGCTTAGAGACCCCTCTMGAGTAAGGCTGCCAGCATCTCCGGGGAGCCGGGCAGGAGGGGGCGCAGCAGGCCTTGGCCTCTGGCCTCAGAGCCCCAGCGGCCGAGGCCGTTCCAACCAATGGAGAAGTTCTTTCCTAATAAGATTAAAAGGGGTGGGGGCAGGAGAGGAGGGAACAGTCTCTCTAATCTAAATGGGATATGAAAATTAATTCCTGGGCACATTCCAGGGCCCCTGCCTGAGGCCACCCAGGCACCTTCACTCCACTGTTCAGAAATTATCACTGTCTGGACATCCTCGAGGTCATTCCTTCTTAAAGGGCCCTTTATCAGGTATGTGGAGATGAYAAAAGTTAATCCCAACCCAAAGCACTTTTTTGGGACCGATGCCCCCACCCACACCCAGGAAAGGAAGCCTCCTGTGCCTTCTGGGAAGAGCGAGGACCAGGACGGGAAGGAACTAATTTATGGCTTCGAGGCGGGATGATGAATGCAGTACCCCCAGCCGACAATGCAGCTTTCACTTAATTACCGCCTGTAATTGGGAGTTGTAAAGATAAGATTAATTGAATCTGGTGGATGTTAAAAGTTTAATACATTGGAAGCGGCTCCTCTGTTATCGGGAAGCCCAGACTGTGGGACGCTGGCCAGTGCTGGGAAGAGCAGCCCCTGGAGACGCACACAGCTCCTGGGCGGGAAGCTCGCAGCCTCGAGGCCAGGACTGTGCTGTCAGGCCTAGGGCCCGCTGCACCTCCCACCACCTCCCAGGGCCTAGCAGCAGCCGGGGCCAAGGGCTTGGGTCCTCAGGGACACATGCACCGAGCACCGCCTGGCCGAGAAGGCTCCACAGACATGGGAGGCCCAGTGTCCCAAGTGCCACTTGCCTTCAGAATCGGGGCAGCTCCAGGTAGCTGCCTGGTGCCCTGGGAGCCCAGGGTGACAGGGGCCCAGGTGGCCAGGGCAGATCACACAGGAGGGAGGAGAGTGAGGGTGACGAGGAAGGGCAGCCAGAGCTAGTCTCGTCAGTGTGCAGGGGAAGGCCCCAGGGACCCTTTGGGGACTCTAGTGCAGAGCCTTGGCAGGCCCCTCCCCCAAGAGCACAGCACTGCCACTGTCACCACAGCCCACGCCTGGCACCACGCTGGGGCATCCCTAGACTCAGATCTGGCTCTGGAGGAGGAGAAACAGGAAAAGTGCGTATTTGGGTTGAAATGTTTGTTGGCTGAGCCTCGAGGCAGAAGCAGCATCTGTCTGGCTATCAGCAAGCCATTTCTCGGGCTGTAAGACAAAGCTGTTTTTATTGGTCACCGAGGCAGGGAGGCAGTTTGTCTCGCTCCCTGGGAGTCCGTCCCCATCACCAGGTCAAACTCCATGACCTAAACCGACCTCTCTGCCTGCCAGTGAGCCTGGTGGCTCCTCGCATGCAGCAGCCCAGCTGTGCAGCACAGGGCTCCTGCACATTTTCTGCGGCAGGTGGCCTCCAGATCCCTCCACACCTCCTAGGGACCTGCCAGCTCGGCCCTGGACAGGAGCTGCTCGCGCCTGCAGCCTGCTTCCTGTCCTCCTTCCTGTCCTGTCCGCGCAGTTGCTGCGGCCTCTCTCTGTGTCCGCCCGGCAGGGCCCGGCCCCTCTCCCTCCCTCTCCACCAGCAGCACCTCAGCCCCATGCAGCCTGTGTCCCCTGGCTCCTCTGCCCCCTCCAGAGCCCAGGAGGCCACGACCTTCTGGACCCCACGGGCCCACGTGCTCCTCCCTCCAGGCACCTCCTGGGGCCTATCCCTGGACCCGAGCCCCGGGTGTGACGGAGTCTCCGGCCAGCTGGGCTCGGCAAGGCCGGAGGGGGCTGTCCTGGGCTGTGGGGGCTGTCTCTGGAGTCATCCCCCCGGCGGCTGTCCCTCCCCCACCGTCTCAGTCCCCATGCGGAGCACTCTTGGAGGGTGCCAGTGAGACCCGCGAGCCATCAGCTCTGCCTCTCCGGCCACTCTGCACTGCGAGCCGTCTCTGGCAACCACCCCAGGTGACCTGCAGTGGCCTGTGAGACGCAGCAAGCTGCACAGCACTAGGTGGTGTGGCATGGCCCCGGAGGCACCCCAGGACGGCATGGCTCGTGCCCTCTTCGGAAACCTTCTTGGAGTGGTGTCAGGCGTGAGGCATGTAGGAAGAGACGGGCCCAGAAGTGGCTGCTCTCCAGCTGGGAACCTCAGAACAGTGGGGACAAACATGGCCTGGCAGGTTAACAGTCCAAAGGCCACAGGGAAACACACTGGTAGCGGCAAAAGGATTAGCTCTAGAAGGAAGGTTCCAGAAGGAAGCAACTTCCTGAGCCKGGGAGATCCAAGATGGATGCCTGAGGAAGGTGGGTGGTCACTGGCTGGCAGCCTTTCCTGGCCTCTCACCCACCTCAGTGGCTACAGTGGTGGGTCAACAGTGCCCCCCCCCCCAGTGACGGCCACCCTAAGGAGGCAACGCAGGGACCCCGGCTGGAGAGCAYGAGCCGTGTCCCAGGGAGGACGACGGGCGGGTGGCTCCGTGAGGCCAGGGACCACAGCAGGCTCTAGGGCCGTGTGAGAGCAGGCCAAGGCCGGGCTGGCCGCAAAGCCACCTCAGACACCACGYACATGGCCTTGGCGGTGCAGACGCTTCTGCCCACGTGGCCCCTGACGAGTCCCCAGAGCTGATGGGGGGAGCCCAGGGTTCAGAGCATCGGAGGCTGGGGCTCAGCGGTGGCTCTTTGGCTGGTGGCTGAGCAGCTCGGTGACTGARCCCAGGCCAGGGAAGGAGAGGCCCCTGCGTCTCCAAGGCCGCACTGCCCCGGCCGAGCTGGGCGGCCACCGCCTCGGAGCCGCCTCGGTGCCGGCCAGCCGGGAAGAGGCTTCCCGCGCGAGGCGGCGGCTATTAATAGTGTAATTTTCTTGGTGTTTTGTTTACCCCCCTGGAATGGCTTGATGGATGTGAATAATTATCAGACTATAAAAGCCAGCAAATGTGCTATTTTCTACCGCTCTAAATCATCAAACAAATAAAGTGTGAAACAGCATTTTTGAATATAATTTTCCCCTCTAATGGCTTAGAATTATTATCAAGAACAATGAAAATAAATAAGCAAATGCCTTGTGAGTTAAAAATTCAATGAGTGTGTCAGGAAGAGGAACACAGACTGTCTCGGGGACAAGGGCCTGCGCCCGGGCCATCCGTCAGCGCGCACAGCCAGCACACGGGCTGGGGCCACAGCCCCCGGCACTGCTCTGCCCAGGTGGCTGCTGGGCTCACCTCCTGGGTGGGGGGCCTGAGGCCCCAGGGAAGGCTAGGCTGGAGTTCCGGGCAGGGACATGGTGTGGCAAGATGACACTGCCGAACACAGGCACTACAGCACCCCCAAGGGTCTGTCACTGCTCTGGCAGTGACATCTGACCTCGGAAATCAGGGAGACCCAGGCGGGGTGGGGGTGGGGTCTACGGGAGCCAGGCCGGCCCCATGGCCTCTACCCCTCCGGCCTCTGCCCCTCTTCTCTCTCCCAGGCCATGGACAGGCAGGGCCAGAGGGGCTGCTGCCTTGCAGGTCAGCCAGGAGCCCACAACCCTGGGAGAGGCTTAGGAMGAGGCCTGAGGAAGAGGCCCATGAACTGAGGCCTTGGCCCCTTACAATAGATGTCGCCTGTGCCACCCCCTRGTCCCCGTAGCTGAGCTGGCCTGGAGCCCAGGGACAGGAGTCACCATATCAGCTGTTCCTCAGACCTGTGTGACATGCCAGTGACAACATCAGCCTGGAAGCTTCCAGCATCAGGAGGCCCTGGCCACCAGGTGACAGTGGTAACAGGCAGGGCCTTGTCCCCCCTCCCGTCAAGGGCGAGGGTCAGAATGGTACAGGCAGGAGCCATCTGGAAGGTCAGCTCAGCCAGTGTGCGGGGGGCCAGGAAGCTGGTCTCAGTGTYGGCACCACTCTGGACAGAGAGCCCTCGCCGCCCCGCGGCCTCATCACACGGGGCTGAGGCACCGGAGCGCACCCTGCAGGAGGATGCCACCCCCTGCAGCACAGGAGGCCGCTGTGGCCAAGGGCCAGCAGCCCCCCATGATGGGCATAATGAGGTCCCACCATGGCCCTGCCCCAGTGGACGGTTCCAGCACAGACCAAGCAGGAGCACCACCTAGTCCCGCCCGGAAGCCCTGGGCAAGCCCCTGCGAGACCCCCTTCCCCAGCCAGGCCGGCAGCCCCTGCTCCGGCCCTTTGCGTGTACAGTGGAACCAGGGCCACACAGTCACGCTGACCACAGAGACGGCGTGTCACCTAGATGCCCTGGAACAGGCGACTTTAGCAAGACAGGGACWCTGGCCTC